GCAGCGGGTGGTGGATCTGCTGGTACAGAGGCTGCGCAAATGATGAGCGGGATGACGCCTCAGCAGCAGGCGCAGCTGTCGATGTACTACCGCAACCACGGGTACGGGTATGAACGCCACCCAGTTGGCGCAGTGGCAGCACATGGTCAGCAGCAGCGGCAGATGGCCGCGGGGCATCCGCAGAGCGCAGCTGCGATGCAAATGAACGGGCTCGCGCCATGCAGATGATAACGCCAATGGCGCCGCCCAACAGCATATGCAACGCAGCAGCAGCAGCAACAACAACAGCAGCAGCACCATCAGATCCCTGTCAAGGGCCAACCTCCCGGTCGATGATGGGTTTTTTATATCTTTATCGGGTTTTTTGTCGACTTATATAGTTAGATGTACTGTAGTTCCATACGCATTGTACTTTTAATCCACCGCAACTGATTCAGGTTCAAGCAGCGTGCCACGATTACTGTATACAATATACACGAGGTGTCGCAACCACGGTCCCCGTGTCGAAAACGGTTCACGCCGAACATGAGCTACATGAAGAATGGATCAACCGTACTCGAGCTGCGCGAGGAGGAGACCCGCAGCGCACCATACATAATAAACGGTCTCGACAATGCCCCAGATGACAACACAAAAAAAACACAACCGAAAGCGAACCAACATAGACGGCCTAAGGCCGATATCACCGTCGCTGCTCATCCGACACGGGTGATGGCCCATCTTGTCCGCGACTGCCGGATGGCCAGCCCCGGCCTCGCCACGCAGCCGTTTTTTGACCTGGCAGGAAGCAGGGAATGAGAAAACGTGTCAGGCAGAGATCGATGCTACGGACCAGCTTCGCGTAGACGAGCCACACGCGTTGCAGAGCGTGCGGGGCCCTGTCGAGATGGTTAACACAACACAAGAGATGTGAAAGGAAAGGAAAACAGAATTCAAAAAGTAAAAGCGGGTGAACGGCACGCACCCATCGGTCCGCGACGCCACTCGGGCGTCGACGTCGCTTGGCACCCGAGGCATTGCTGGGGGACGCCGCTTTGAGCGGCGTAGTAGACTCGGACCCGGGCACCGTGTGGATGAACTCGTCGCCCTTCTTGAGATTCGACAGAATCAGCACCGAGGATGTCGCGGACAGCGCCGAAGGGGCCTCGGCCAGCACCGGCGACAACACCGGCTTCTCGCGCGGGGGCGCCGGCTCGAGCCGTCGCGGCGGGGGCGTCCGCTTGCGCTCTGGCTGTGGCGGCGGCTGCGGCGGCTCGATCGGCCTCGGTGCTTCGATACGGCCGCGTCGGGCTGTGGCTGTGGCTGTGGCTGCGGCTGGATGGCGCGTGGAAACGACGGCCGGGATGTTGGCACTTTCCAGCACCTGGGCACCATACGATGCATTCTGGAGCATGCGGTCGACAGGGGCGTCTGTCCTCGCCCCCTCGAGAATGCGGTGATACGAGTTCACCAGCTCGTGGAAGTTGATCGCTGGGGCCAGATGATCGGGCGACGGCGAGGACTCCCAGCGGCGTCGACTCGACCGCATGTCCGGCGACTCGGGCGGCGGAACAGGCGGCGGTGGGTACATGCGTTGCTGCGGCTCGTTCAATCGGGAGCGGGATCATATGGCGGGTGATTCCAGGCTCGCGTTTGCTCGTTTGAGGCAGGTCGAGGAGGGGAGGGGGCACCGTATAGTGCGGCTGAGTCTGTTGTTGCGGTGGAGCCTGTCTCTCCGGTCCCGGCGGAGGAGGCGGCGGTTGGTACGTCTGAGTGCTCCATGTGCTGGTCCCCGCCTGTGGCTGCGACGGAGTCACGATGGGCTGCGATGGGGCCACCGAGGAGGGCGACCATTGCTGTGTCCCCGTCGTGTTCGCTGACGATATATAACTTGGCCCAGAATTGTACTGTTGTGGAGGAGGAGCTCCATAAGATGGCGCAGGCGGCTGGCTATAGCGAACCGGCGACTGTGGCGACTGCTGAGAAGTGTAGGAGCCTGATGTTGGCTGGCTGAACTGCGCCGGTGACTGGGGTGGCTGGGATGACGAGGACCCCGAGTCGGACCGTAGCGGACGAGGGGGCGGGTAGTTCGATCCGGGCGCTGAGTATCCGTTGTATGGATAGTAGAGGTATCGGCCGTCAGATGCCATGGGAGGAAAGTGCGAGAGAAATCGGCAAAGCCGTATTAAAATGCAGCCAAGATAGGATCAGAGCGTGTAAACCCTTGTAGTACCTCCCGATTATATTCAATGCTTGCCGTGGGTCCCTGAAACGGTCGAATACCACGAAAACCCGATAAGAAGCAGGACACACGAATGTCGAGATGGGTATAGAAATTCGACAAGATACCTATCCGTCAGAGTTAGTCTCTTCCGCCCCGACCGTCAGCGAGTGGGTGCTCACGAAGTACACTGTCGCCCAAACTGTAAGATCGCAAGTATATGATCCTGTTCGCAGACGTGAGGATGATCCGAATAGGCTGGAAAACCATAATGACGGGTCGCGGGTCGCGTGGAAGAGACGCGTTATCGGCTCTGCGCACGAACAGACTCGAAAGGAAGAACATCCAACGTGACTCCAGACGACAGGCTCAGTTGCTCACGCGCATCCGGACCGTGCAAGCGGGCCACGACTTTGTCAACGAGCCAGCACAGATTCCTGCCCCGCGCTACAAAACTCCGAGCCGGTATCCTGGGACACACGCACGCACCAGCCAGACGCCGTCGCACAGGCGCACCCTCGACAGAGGTATCACAGTCCCGTCTCAGAGAGCGTCGTCGCCGTAAGCAAGAAGGGAAAGAAAACTAAGCATCAGGCTTTAGTCTTTGCGCTCAGCAGGGCTGGTATGTAAAACGCTCTGACCTGGACGTAAAACAGGCTATCACGTAGCGCTATCCACGAGATCGAGGTTGCGTTCTGGGAGGGATTCGCCAGTCAGCACGTTGCACACTCTCCAGCGCCGGTCCTGGAGGTTGGTGTTCGAGGCGAAGTGTAATGGGTGCATGCCCGAGTCCTCGGAGCATCTTCTCTCCGGGCCGCTTCTCGGGCAGACACCGCCACATGTCTGATATCTCCGTTGCTGCCCCCGCTGTTACTTACGCGCGACTTGCTGTCGTGAATTTATCAATGGCACAGGGAGGAGATTCTCTCCCGTGCCACAGTTTTCTCCATTTGTGACTACTAGTGTTTTAGCCGTACTGAGCGCTTTCCTGAGCGACACCATCGCCCATCATCGGTGGCTCATGTCATGCGCATTCGATTCAGACCGGTGCCGACATTGTCAAGTTCTCTACCATACACCATCTTCCTCCTCTCTCAGGTCCCGGGACTTGAGAGGGGGATATGAGTAAGACATTTGGCGAGAGATTAGGTTATACCCAGATTCAAACTGCCGAGAACGGGAATTGTCTCCGCTCTTCCGACCGTGTTAATTTCCGACCTCAGGCGGCTGGAGAAAAACAATTCAGGTCGACTGTCGACGTCGGCTGACAGATGGAAATCTCCTCGACACGGTGACGAAGCAAAACGACATGAATCATGGAAACCTGAGTGATTGGAAAGCCTCATGTGACGCTCTTCCCGAGTCCTTGGAATAGGCGTCGGCGTCAACATCGAAAAAAATAGGCATGCAGAAGAACTCGAGTTCACTTCGCTCAGCTCGATCATCATCCGGGGATGATGCTGACATATCACATGTTTGCGGCAAAATGCTTCCGGTGTCCGTCCGGACAGCCTAACTTGAAGATCTCACCGGGCCACTCCAGCACACGACTAATGAAGCTTGCACAACGCACATTCATTGTCTCCGGAGGGTAGGTACCTACGACAGCCATCGACGTTCTCCCTAAATTTACCTACGAATCCAGTTCCTCCGGGCTTGGTTTAGCCACGGTCGAGAATCTCATTGCGGCAGGCGCCTTCGTCTCTATCCTCGACCGCTCAACTCCACCGGAGCATCTCCTCTCTTCCCCATCGTCCTCGAAAATCAAGTTCTACGAGACAGACATCACCAACCTCGCGCAGATCGAGCATGCCGTCGATAGCACCGTCGCGTGGGCGTCGGAGGTAGGTGCTCCGCTGGGCGGGGTCATCAACTGTGCCGGGGTCGGGACCGCCGCGAAGATCATCGACGCGCACAACGAGCCCCATCCGGTCGACCTCTGGGACTTCACCCTCGCGGTGAAGTTGACCGGGACGTTCAATCTCACGCGTCTTGCGCTCCGGCACCTGATCAAGGTCGCGCCCGAGGACGGGCCAGATGGAGAACGCGGCGTAGTGGTGATGGTCTCCAGTGCCGCAGCGGTGATTCTCGCTTCCTTTCTGCTGATAATCACACGTACTGAGTGCATGTATGCGGCAGTTCGAAGGGCAACCCGGTCAAACGGCGTATTCTGCCACCAAGGGCGCGCTGCATTCGATGACGCTTCCTCTTGCCCGGGATCTCTCGCGACACGCCGTTCGGGTGGTTACTATTGCGCCAGGGGCCTTCCGGAGCAGTATGACGGATAAGCTCCCGGACAAGGCGCGCAAGATCTTGGTCACACAGGGGATTGTCTACCCGGCCCGCTTTGGCGAGGCGCCTGAATTTGGGCAGACAGTGCGTTGGATCCTGGAGTGCCCATATGTGAATGGAGAGACCATTCGTTTGAGTGGCGCAGGACGGCTGCCTGGAAAGCTGTAGAGTCTCATCTACCGCAGGTGCGCTTAATAGTGTGTATTCTAGTGCAGGAAATAGCACTGATGACCAAGATATCTAAGAATAAATCCGCAATTACAACCTCGCTGGTAACCTCCCCCCACCCGTCATCTTTATACTTTCCCCATTGATATATGCGCACTCCAAGACCCAGTTGACCGTTTTCGCGAACTCCTCCGGTGCACCGTACCGCCGGGGAAACAACAGACCCATATTCGTGATCCCGCTTGCGACGCGATCTGTCCACTGGTCCGTCATCGGTGTCCCGAAGGGGCCAGGCGCGATTGCGACGACGCGGATGCCAAAACGGGCGCAGTCGCGTGCCATGGGGAGGACTAGGGAACGGATCGCGCCTTTGGAGGCGGCGTAAGCAATCGTAGATGGCATCCCCTCGTACTGCAGCCCAATGTGAGCCAGCTGCGAAGCAAGTGAGGACTGGTATGATCACGCACCGCAGCATTGCTGGAAATGAGGATGATGACGCCGCGCTCCCCGTCCCCGTTTTCCGCTGGCACGCGTATCAGGTGTCGAAGCACCAGACGCGACAGATTGAAGGTTCCGGTAACGTTCACAGCCATCACGCGTTCCCAGTTTGTCATCGAATGCGGATTGCCTTTCGCGTCGATGATCTACGACCGCGGTTGAGCTAAACGGAGAACGGAGCGACGTGTCCTCGGTGGACACACACACACCGGTTCCCCGCTCCCACCAATCCCAGCACAGTTCACCAACCCGCCGAGCGGCGCCCCGTTGGCTGCGGCCCACGCGGCTGCCTCGTCGACGGCCTGCTCGAGCCCGTCGTGCTGCGCGAGATCAGCGGTGATGAACAGCACCCGGTCGGCCGGGAACTGCTCCTTGGGCGGACGGAGGTCGAGAATGACGGCTTTGGCCTCGGCCGCGAGCAGTCCTTGGACGGTGGCGAGTCCTAGTCCCGAGGACCTGAGTGTGCATGTGCTATGTGTCGGATGCGAAGTTCATGGGGTCAGCAGGGCCACGCACCCGCCTGATACCACGAATGTCCTGTCTGCGACCTTCATTGCGGGGAAATGGGGACAGCTCAAGTTGCCGGGTATTTAGCGCTATTAGTAGTACGAGGGGGCGGCGCTTGAAGTTATATGATGTCGCGTGATTAGTTGTTCTGATGATGATGTCGGGGGATGGTTGCCTCCGACACGCCGTCCGAATTACGGGTGTGGGTGGACCGGATATGAGCGGTAGACGACCACTTCGGAGACACATTTGAGCATTTGCGCACTTGATTGAGGACATCCAACTAAGCCTCTCGCCGGCATCGCGATTATAGTGGACAGTACATATAATAAATAGATATTAATTCATTGACAAAGGTCAATCGGGGACAGGCATGGCATGGCATAAGCGCTTGAGCAACAGTCCCTCCCAGGTCAGACACTGGTGCCCGGATCATTTATGCGCGCGGGTATCTCTTCATCCAGCGCTTGGTCACGCTTCTCAATCCTCGCAATCGTCTCTTCCACGATCAGAAACCCGGTGATGCCGACGTAGATCGCCAGAAACTGCATCGACTTCAGGCTCGAGGAGATCGGCACCAACATCATCACAATGCTCGCCGCGAAACGCATGCCAAGCACGACCCTCCGACTGATGGTCGTCCTGAGGACTTTGCGCACATGATGCGGATGGAGACCCTCCTGGTCGTCGAGGTTCTTGTGCAGCACCCCGATTGTAGCCATGGTGAACACGGCGACACCCAGCCCTGCGCCAAAGAACCACTTGAGCCCGGGTCCACCCTCCTCGCTGGTTGTGAACGACTCAGTCACGACCATGCGGTTGATCGCTGATGAGGCAAGGAGCAGAGACATGCACATCGGGAAATGCAACATGGAGAAAGTGTATCCAGCGAGCCAGTGCCGACGGATGGCATGCACAAAGTGCTTGCTTGCATGGGAGGTGAAGTACATCCAGTTGAGATTGAATGCAATCATCAGTCCTAGAAATGCTCGACCAGACTCGCTGTTAAGCGTTAGGCGAGGACATCTTTAAAAAATAATCACCGCTATGACTCACGCGTTGATTCCCGCCGCAGCTGAACTTGCGAAGAACACGCTCACGACTATCTCTCCTAGAACGATAGTCACGAACGCGCCCAGCCTTTCAACGAGATGTTCGATGTTGATGGCTGGCTTGTGGTCAGCCACAGCCTTGGACGCCCAAAAATTAAGCGCTTACCTGGGAACCGCACGTCTTCTTTCGCAGCAACCCAATGGCAGGCTGGAATATCCTCCAAAGGAGCCTCCTCGTTGACCGCTGTCATCGAGCTGTTCCTAGTCCTGGATACGTCCGCATCCAGCTCACCAGTCCAGTCCTTCTCTAGCTCCTCTTGCGGGCTCCCAGGATACAACCTCTGCGCACTGCGCTGTCTCTGCAGTCGCCGTTTTCGGTCATGCCGTTTTCCCAGGACGACCATCGTCTTGTCGAGCAGGACGGCCAACACTCGGATCAAATGATCAGCCACAATGCTCACCGCAACGATCGCAATGACCCCTCTGTTGGAGACGTTGGCAGAGATGGCGATCAGAATGATGATGACTTGGAGAAGCGGGTCGACGACAGAAAACTGGAGCGGAATGCGGGACATGGGGAGAAATAGTGAGTACGAGAGCGTTAGAAGGACTGGAGGTGAATTAACCGCAAGCGGGGGGACAAGATACACGATACTAACGCACCTTTGGAGGCTTTCGCGATTATATAGAAGCCCATCGTCCATCGCATAGCCAATCTGCTCTCTTCACTCTGGCCTGCAGAGCTTATCTCGATTGCGCTTGCGTTATTCGAATACCCCACGAGCAGCAACATGGTCCACAGGATGTAGGCCCTCTGCACCACGTCGTCGTTGGAGAACCGGTTCGCGATATCACGCATATCAGACCAGATGCTGTATGCCGGTGCGAAAGTGAGAATGTATTTGAGTAACCCTAAGCCCGTAGGCTGCACCGCTGCTGCCTCGGATATCTGGTGCACCATGCCGACAAACAGGAGGTCGAAGAATAGCTCGAAACGGGAGGACTGCTGTTCGCCTGTTTGCTGTGTGATGTCCGCCTCAGTTGAGGTGCGTTGGATTCAGAATGAAAACCGCCGTACCCTGTACAGTTTGCCATTTTGTAGCCACTGATGGAGCACGGGGCGTTGGAGAAACTGGTCAATGTTGTACCGGACCATAAGCCGGCAGACCGAGGCGCTCGTCCCCGTCCCTTTAGATAACCGCTGGATCGTGCCTTGGTCAGGGTCGTCCGGGCGCACGAAGATGATCTCGTCCGAGTGTCCATAGGATGCAAGATTCCGTGCCGCCTATACCCATGTATTAGAGCCTATGAAGGTTCTGTGGGCACAAGAAAGCGCAAGCTTCACGTACATGACCAGCGTGCTCGATATGCTTGACCTCATCCCTGAAGCTGTCCAGCTCGAGCTCCACCTCCTCTTTCGCCGCGTTCGCAGTTTGGAGATCGCGCTCTAATGTCGAGACGCGGAGACGCAAGGCTTCGAGCTGGCCGGTCTCGTCGACTTCCATCGCCACAATGATGTGGTAAAAGGGGTGTAAGCTGGCTCAATACCAGAACATTTGAATGAGCCAAGACAGATGGTTATCTGCTAAGCGCGGTGATTTTCGGGGTTCCCTGATCAAGCACAGAGTTTTTCTATGACAAGTTTTCGACGGAGGCTGCGCAAACTGACGAGCCGGAGGGACGCGCGTTGGAATGGATGGTAGAATTCGTGATGGAGGTGCAACGAACGTAAGGATTGCCACAGATTCGGTCACACCCGGATCACCCGGATGAGCATCCGCGAATTTTGATCCGGGTTGATGACAAGGATTACGCGTACGCGTCATCCGTAATAATCTTACCGACGGGTTTTGCCTGCAGGCTGCGGGTCTGCCCGTGAGCCGCATATACTCACTCGCGTAGCTACGGGCGAAGGCTTGTTGCCAAAAAAAAACCCGAGGGTTTGACCTGGCTTGGCCCGATCCGACTCGGGTCACCCCAAACAAAGGTGTGCTTGCCGCTGATCGGCCGGTTAAAAGTTTTGATCCACTCGCTCATCCTCTGCCGCCATGTCCCAAACGCGTGAGTTCCCACCACTTTATCAATCCACAGGCGACGCGTCGTCCGACCGACTCGCGTTCTTCCACCTCCTCGAGCGTCTCAAGGTCAGTCCGCCACGTCCATCCGACGCGTTTTCCCCACTGAGCTGCTGTACTCAGACACAGAAACGGACCGGATGGGTCGACCATGACGTGCGTGCACGGCTTGCGCTGTAGATCTCGTCGCGCACCTTACGAGGAGCAGATACCGAACCCAGAGAGGTGCATGCGTGTATTGCGCCCAGTGTGAACGTCCGCTCATTCGCACCGTGCTTGTGCAGTATCTCGGATCACATGTACAGGATGGCGATGTTGGCGATGTGTACCTCGGACCAGACGCTGGATGTGGCCAAGTGTGTCATGGACCTTTGATCTGTTTTCAGGTTAATCATGTCCGTGCGTAGATGCGTGATGCTCTGCTTGGTGCACGATCTGGCAGAGGCCCATGGTGAGTCTTTGTCCATTGCCATTGCTAGTCGCAAATCCGATACGTGTTCCAGTTGGTGATATAGCACCGCGAGAGGGGTTCACGTCCGAGGAGAAGAGACGGCTCGAGGCAGTGAGTCTGAACATGACCCCCTCTGAGTGATTTACTATCTCGTTCTGCTTCCAGGAAGCCATGGACAATATAGTCCATGAAATGCTACACGATAGCCCCGCTGCCCTAAAAGTCCGGGCGCTTTGGGAGGTGAGTTCATGAGTCCCCGGGTCATCTCTCTTTGCCCACGCTCATCCCGATTCCAGGAATACGAGGAACGACAGACACCCGAGGCAAAATTCGTCAAAGGTTTGTTCTTCCTTCGTCTTCGTCTGAAGCCAATGGCATGGTCCTTACACCACGGCCAGATCTGGATCGGTTCGAGATGGCCTGCCAAGGTTCTTGCTTCTTTCCGGTGGTGGATGTGCGCGTGTCCGATGCTTACGCGAGCTTTCTTCAGCCTCAGAATACGAGCGGGCGCATGGGAAGAGCCTTCAGCCGTTCTTTGACTCGAGCTTGCCCCGCATCCGACATCCTGAAGTGCAAGAGTGGGGAAGATATCTTGCTAAGCAGCGGGAGAGTCTCTGACAATAGCCGTCTGATTCTAAACTCAGACTGTCCATGACGAGAATAACGACATGCACTCATCCTAACACACACAATGAATCGGAGACATAAATCACTGGTTTACAGGTTTTTGTGACGAGATAAACTGGGATCAGATCCAGTATCGATAGGCAGAACGATGCAGTCAGAAGCGATCGCGATCTACAATGCTATGCTATTGTTGCCAGTCTGCACCGCCATTTCAACTCGAATTTTCCTCACCGAGTATGATCCTCTCTAGGGAAGTGTAACTTCAACGCTATGGGGTCGATCGTCTGACCTGAATCGGCAATTATGTGCTCTACGAACCGGATCGCTCGAATCCTCTCGCCTCAACTAGCCTGAACGTTCAGTGACCCTACGTAGACCTTGCTGTTAGTCAAGAGTGAATTCTAGACCGAGTGAATTGGATTCGGCGTAGCGGTCACGAGCATGTCCTGACATCGAAGACATCAGCAGATAGTAGATAATATCTGGTTATATTTCAACGCTTTATTCTGGACTCTAACTGGGAAAACTCAATGGGATCACTCGGCCCAGCCCTCGCTCCTAATCCTCATGTAACGGGCACCATTGCCGATCCTCCACGACCGAGATACACGAAAATAACTCTGAAATGGGCTTATATGTCTTTGCTGGACTACGATATAATTGCGGCCTTCCGAGCAATAGACCCTTGTCGCGAAGTAGGAACTCAATCACGAGGACGCGTCAGTCACGGGATCGTGTCAGATCCAATCATATCTTCATTTTCAAATTTCCTGATCTAGCCCGATCTCTTCTCCAGCAATCTTCACGGATCCCACGATGAGCCAACACATTGGTGAGTCCACGAAACTATAGCGCTGGACCTTGCATTCGTGCCTCTGACTCACAACAAGCGCTACTCTCTGTGTACGATAAGACTGGCCTGCTCGAGTTCGCCCAGGGCCTGCATGCCGCAGGCGTTCGACTGCTGGGGTCTGGTGGAACTGCGAAGAAGATCCGGGAAGCAGGTATTCCCATTGAGTGCGTTTTATCGGTTTGCGCCTCTGCCACCCTCTGATCCACTCTTTTTCAGGGATGTCTCCGACATAACCAAAGCGCCAGAGATGCTCGGTGGCCGCGTGAAGACGTTGCACCCCGCTGTGCATGGTGGTATCTTGGCACGTTCTATTCCCTCAGACGAGAAAGATCTCGCTGCCCAGGGTATCGCGCCCATTTCGATCGTGGTGTGCAACCTGTACCCGTTCACGTCGACCATTGCGCAACCGAACTGCACCCTTGCCGATGCCGTGGAGGAGGTCGATATCGGGGGTGTCACGCTCCTCCGTGCGGCAGCGAAGAACCATGCGCGCGTTTCGGTGATCTCTGACCCGGCGGATTACGCAGAGTTCCTCGAAGCGTGGAAGGCAGGAAGTGGCGAGGTCGGCCAGGCGATCCGGAACAAGTTGTCGTTGAAGGCGTTTGAGATGACTGCGACGTACGACGAGGCAATCAGTGGGTATTTCAGGGAGCAGTATGCGTCAGCGGAGCTGCCTGCGGACAAGCTCTCTGGGCCCGTTCAGCGGATGGCGCTCCGTTACGGCGCCAACCCTCACCAGAAACCGGCCCAGGCTTATGTCACTCACGGCGCCCTGCCTTTCAAAGGCATGTCTCCGGGTGCATCTCTGTTGGTGCCGTTTCTCATGCATCTCTACAGTTCTTTGCGGTTCTCCCGGATACATCAACCTGCTCGACGCCCTCAACTCGTACGCTCTTGTGAAGGAGCTGCAAGAGGCCTTGGGCCTGCCTGCCGCTGCATCCTTCAAGCATGTCTCCCCCGCAGGAGCTGCTGTCGGAATTGCCCTTGACGAAACGGAGAAAAAGGTGTACGGTGTAGACGACCTCAAGGAGCCACTCACTCCGCTCGCCTGTGCCTACGCTCGTGCGCGGGGTGCTGACCGGATGTCCTCGTTTGGGGACTTTATTGGACTCAGCGCGCCGTGCGATCTGGCGACGGCGAAGATCATCTCGCGAGAGGTGTCGGACGGAATCATCGCCCCGGGATACACGCCCGAGGCATTGGAAGTTTTGGCGAAGAAAAAGGCCGGAAAGTACTGCGTCCTCGAGGTGAGCCGCCAGTCCGGGATTTGAAACACACACAGAGTGATATATCTGACGCGCGCGTAGATCGATCCGAACTACGTTCCCGACGAGATTGAGACGAAGCAGGTGTACGGCGTGCACCTGCAGCAGCGCCGCAACAATGCCAAGATTGATGCTTCGCTTTTCTCGAACATTGTCACCAAAGCCAGCGAGGTAGGTTCTCCTTTGGCCGGGACTCGCGCAGCTAATTACATGTACCTTGCAGCTGCCGACCGAAGCCAAAACGGACCTGATCCTCGCGACGCTGGCGCTCAAGTACACGCAATCGAACAGTGTCGGGTACGCCAAAAACGGGGCCATCATCGGTCTCGGCGCCGGCCAGCAGTCGCGCATCCATTGCACCCGGCTCGCGGGAGGCAAGGCCGATTTATGGTGGCTGCGCCATCACCCGCGGACTCTTGCGCTGCCGTTCAAGAAGGGCGTCAAGCGTGCCGAAAAGGCGAATGCCATCGATCTGTTTGTGAGCGGAGAGGTCCTGGAGGGCGGGGAGAAGGAGCAGTGGGAGGGCATGTTTGAGGGTGCCGTGGCTCCGCTAACAGCTGAGGAGCGAGCCGAGTGGGCGGCGAAGCTGGATGGGGTTGCGTGCTCGAGCGACGCGTTCTTCCCGTTCCCTGACAACGTGCATCGTGCCCGCAAGAGCGGCGTGAGGTACCTGGCTGCCCCGAGCGGCAGTGTCATGGACGCCGAGTGCATCAAAGCGGCTGATGAGCATGGCATCGTCTTTGCTCACACCTCACTCCGTCTATTCCACCACTGATCGCGGGCGTGAAAATGCGTGTAGTAACTAAATGTATCGTGTAACAGAAGATTCGACAGCCGTCGGAATATATCATATGAATATCTGTGGAACTGGCACTGGCAATGACAGATGTTAGGCGATGGCTGTGCACATACTGTAGCCGCTCACCTGACGCATCTTCCTCCACCCTCGCCACCTGCTTCCCTTGAATCTGATCCTTCAGTTCCGAGCCCAGGCGCCATGCTGGAATTGGAGCGCTTACCACAGACCATCTCCCCGTCCCGCAGCTGTCTACGGTTTTCTCTATCCTCTCCACGCTAAGTGCGGCAGAAACCCAGTACCATCGCTGCAAACTTACCGACTGAATGACATGCTAGTATCCAGCTTCCACTCTCATGCCGGTGATGGTCCCTTTGAATTCCCCAACCGCTCACGCCGTTGATGAGCGCAGAAACGTTCTACTCGGTCAGCGCAATGGCTATGAGGCTGCGGGAAGGAACCTCGGACCAAGTTACTCCTACCTTCCCCTGACCCTCAGCACACACCCCCAGCGTGCGCAGCTATTCACCGCCGTCAATCCGTTTGAAATTCCAGAACGCTGGTGGAAGCGGGGCAGGAGAGACACTGCTCCGGATGCAGAATGTGGGATTGGAGTCCAACACGTTGTATCAGACGACGACATTCCGGGCGATGCAAAGCACCGTGCACATCCTGCTCACGGTCCCAACTACCCCTACGCGTCTATGGGCCATGACGGCTCACCGACGAACGGTATGGTTGATCCTCGGAATCCAAGCGGGGATATGTGGAACTCGCCTGTTGGAATGGGGACAGGGAGTCACCCGGAACCATTCCTGCCGCCAGATAGGATGTCCGCTGAACCTCCTTCGGAGCAGAGACCGATCCCAGCCCCAAATCCGGGCCGCAATCCTGTCTATCATGTTGTGGAGGACGCGATCTGTCAGCCGGCGTCCATACATCGACCCAGGTCTCCACCACCACAACCGGAGCACAGCGCACCGATTACAGGTACCCCCCTGCAAGCAATCTTGACGCCAAAGCATAGCCCTGCGAGCAACAGGGAACAGTTCGATCCGCCTGAACGCCCTGACACTATCGCGGAATCCCAGGGCAGAAACGGAGAGAGGTCGCCGGAAGAACCGGCACGTTCTGAGCGCTCCACGGGCAGGAGATACAGTCCATGGACTTCGTTTAGTAGTCGCAGTGGAAGCTCTCTTTCTCCCGGCGACCGTGGTCGTTACGCTCGTCGCCAGCACCCTCGATCTGGCTCCCCGTCTCGCTCTCCAACTTGGTCGAGAAGCCGTCATGCTCGAGAACACGAGGGTCCTTATGATGACAGCCCCTCGCCCCCTGATCTCGGTCCCCATCGAAGCCCAGGTGCTTCGCGCTCGATGTCTATTCGGAGAGAGGCTTCACGACCAGAAAATATCGACGAAGAGAGCCGTCTTGATTCTCCCGCTGCTCGCCCACAGTGGGATCCGGCAGCTGAGGCGGGCTATCCTGCCCGCCTGCCTCCAGTCGCGATTGCCGTTCCCCCCGATTCATCCACATCTGAACTGCCACTCCCCGTGACGCTCGTAGCAACATCACCAAGGACGTCCGGCACCCTGTGGTCCTCGCTTCTCGACGCTGCATTCGTCGTTACGGACTTCTTCCCACGGCAGCTCTACCTGCTCATCCTGCTGAGAATCCCGTCGCTGTACTTTTCGCGAGTTACGCGAGTGTTCGAGGACGCCCGGCTGAATCATTTTGATATCGAGCAGATGGCGAAAGCCAGGGCGGAGCAGTGGAATGTGCAGCCGCCGCCGTACTCGATGTTGTTGCAGCAGCAGCAGCCGTATCCGGAGATGGCGACACCTACTTTACCCGTCGCCTTGCTGATTTTCAAAGCCTCGTGGGAAGAGTTCATCGACTCGCTGATGAAGGAATGGAAGACGTTGAACATCGTTTCCGTTCTATTGCTTTCGTGCGCACTCTTTCTCTTGGATCCACCCTTGTCTATGACTGACGGGACTCAGTGCCATCTTGACCATGGTTCAAATCAACGAAGTGTCACATCCCGTTACTCGAACCGCCGCCCTGTTTGCGTTGATCTGCGCGCTGATGAGTTTATTGTTTGGCTGCATGTACATCATCCGGTTCGGGACCATGCGCAAGATGCACAAGGCGAGCAGGTTAGCTGCCGAGGCGCAGAGGGGTGTTGTTGGCATTGGTGGAATGTTTGGGTTCTCCTGGCGATGGTGCGTGGTTTATCTTTTCCGCTCAAAACTAGTCAATGCTGAAACTGTTTACCCAGCCAGCAGTTTGGCTTTCCTGGTCGCTCGTCGCCTTTCTTATTTCCATCATGTCGTTCATCTGGCTGGGTGGTTCAACGGCAGATCCGAACGGTTTTCTGTTGCACCCTAAAATATCACTGGCACCTCAGATTCTGCTTACTGCTGTCTTTGTCTCTGGGCTGATCTATTTTGTGCTCACTGCACACGAATTCCATCGATACGGGGACCCTCTGGATCGGGAGTGGTCGAAAGCTGTGGATGCAGACGTTCAGCGTCAGAGCAAGCCTGTGCGACCTGTGTACTCCGACTCTTCTCTGCGCCCTCTCACGGATAAGTCGACACCTGGGGATACACATCGATCCCTCCCGCGAAGACCGTCTGATCGTCCCAGTCCAGACATTGCCTTCCCCAGGGCTCTCCCAATCATGCGCTTGAATCTGGACAAAGAGATTGGTGCGGTGACATCGTTCGAGCCGCATGACTCGCTTGTAGTGCCAGATGAGACATGGGCCGCATTCATGCAGGTGTGATGGATTGACTCGGCTTGAGCGCCAACTGAGATCCCGACAGGACATCCAATCCGTCTGGGCCGACCGTCCCGTGTTCCGGGCTCCGCCTGGGGTCGACCTGCATATCGGCAATGGGAGCGTTTCCGTTCTGTCTCCAGCACAACTGAACTCGCTCTCCTCCTCTGCCGAAGACCATAGCGTGATTCCGGTCGAAAGATCGCTTCCAGTTTCGGAGAAGCAAGATCGCCGCGTTGGAGCTATACATGCGATGCTTGTCGAGTGGAACAGGCGGTTCTTCTGGTCGTGTGGGTTGAACGTCGAGCTGAATTCGATACCGTCTCATCCACGGCTGTTTGATATCTGCTTGCACGATACTCGAGTGCGAGGACCTGGGATAGGCCGTCAAATATCACGAGGCTGGGGCGAGGCTGAGCACAGGGAGGGAACGTGATCATCACTCTGCAGAATAATTCCATATGAGTAGATCACGCTTCGAGCTTGTTCGAAACGTATGTCGATATGGAAATCCGCGGTGCACGTACTGCATTGATCGCACTGCGGTCAGCTGTGATGCTGCTCTTCATGCTCATTTCCGGTGCCATGTGTCTCGATGCGTCGCGGAATGAATCGTGTCTCCAGGAATATCCCAATAACATAACTTCTGGAATGAGGATTTGGATTTGGGCATTCACCGCATCAACTCTCGCAAAGAAGAGGAAAGCAAGGAGCGTCCTTGTCACAGATCGAACACCCTCAAGCACTGCGTATTCCTTTCTACAACGAACACGAATGTTTCTTCAGCTCTTTATGCCAGATTACGTCACACATGTGTTGCCAATTGGCTGCCTTTGACATCGGCCTTGGAATGCTCCTGGGAAGATCGAGACAACACGGCTTGCTACATACTTAGGTTGTGGATAGCGCTAGAGGGATGTTATGAGCCGGACGTTGATCAGAATTTCCCTCCGCGCTCCAGCTCGTGTTTCCCGCCGTGGCTATGCATCTCACACCACACATCGACGCGATGCGATTGGGAATGGGATCTATTACACAGGCCCCGATGCGCAGGCTGTCACTCACTACACCCGCTAAGCTCGATTTAACTCCCTCGCCCAGCAGCTCTGCGTCAACGATGCAGAGAAACTCCAAGGCGGACAAGGCCAGCCTGTTGTGCGCGATGCTCTCCACCGCGCAGCTGTGTGTGGCCACTGGGGGGAAGCATGCCTTCTAGACCGAGAGGAGCCTGAAACCGCAGTACAAGTTCGGCCAGGCCAGATGACGAGTGTGGACGTCGATGTCAGCCAGGACATGACTTGGACCGCCGAATTCATGGATAGAATCAGCGAGATCAGGGACAGTATGAACGTCATCGGTGAGCCTCATCCTTGTCCGGCCACTCGCTCGCAGAATCTGCCGCTTAAGATGAACCAAAGGATCTCTGCAGGTCAAAAGTGACGCTGTTGGTGGGGGTAGGAAAGCGTCGGCATCCTTTTTCGATCCGAGTAAACTCAAGGAAAGCGACATCGACTTTTTTTTGCAGGTCCGCGTCAACAACGGCTCACTGCTCCCGATCTAACCGATCTCGATTCCACAAGTGTTTGTGTCCATTCACTTCAGATTCAAGACTTATGGAATGCAGTGCGATGCTAGCCAAGTACACAAGCCTGAAAAGCTTCTACATGAAGAGCACCAGGGGATTGCCGCTCGACTATGAGAATGCCGGTGTATACTCGTCCGTGCTGCTCGATGCTCACATTGATTACAAAGTGATGTGGTGTAACATACAACAAGGTATCAGTGCTTCCTTCCTGTCTTTCTACCCAGTCTAATCGAGTCTTCCAGCCGCATGGGAAGTTTAACAGGGTCAATCAACGTCGGTCGGGAAACAGCACGTCGAGAGGTTCACCACATTAGGCGCCAAAGCAAAAGCAGATTCACGGCTAAAATGACAAGATACCAAAACAAACTGGCTTCAGCGAAGCAGCAACACCCTCGACAATTACAACCAGCAGTACCGCTGCTTGATGTCGGCGCACCTACGCCACCTGCTGCTCTGTTTTGTGACGAAAATACTGGTGCACCACCAGTACCGCTTCTCCTGTTTTACCCTCCAGACCCCCCGGTCGAGCCCGAAGAAACTCTGCCACCTAACGAACTCATCCCGTACGAGGGCAGTCTGTCTGGCCTCGGCGGCGCGCGCAGAGACTGCCGGTCCGAGATAATCAAGATTGTACGAGAAGTCGATGCGGTGGCCAGGATCCAAGATCGGAGCCGTTTGTGGAAATATTTCAGTCTAGCGATCCTCTAGATCTTGCTTCCGGCGAGTTGCTCATTCGTGCCGTCGTCCTTGCTGTGTTGTGATCCGGCTGTGCGCAATGTCAGCTGGGAAAGAGCCGTCGTAGAAGCCACCGATGCAGCGAGGGCCAAAACGGAGAAAGAGAAGGCGCAGGAGGCGATCGTGGACAATTTGTCGAGCACACAAATCAAGGTCCCGCTTGTCGGCAGGGAACACCAGGACTTCGAAGCAGGAATGAAGACGCAGATTCCAGAACCGAAGCGCGAACATACTGTTGGACGGGAGTGACAGAGGGCGAAGATGGGCCGGAAACATGCGGCCGAGCTAGAAGATGCGGGACAGAAACTGGAGCAGTTCAAGGATACGGTCAGGCAAGTGCAAGTCAAGCTCAGCACGCTAAAGACGACAAAAAGATTACTCGGGTGAGCACTCGTCCACTGCCGCCAGCACTGGACTGATTCGCAGCCCAGCCTGAAGGACGCATGGTGCCCAGTGCCGCTCAGGACGCCTGTCCAATTCAAGAATGTCAACAAACGGCAGTGCATGCAATATGACCTCTTGTTCGGGTTGGGCGGTCCGGCCTGGGCGGAGCGATGAAAGTGGTCATTTCAAGTGTGTGAGGTCGCGCAGTCAGCATTGCTCAATGTCCCGAGCATTAAATGATGTTCTAGTTTGACATCCAGGCATTGGGAGCACTGGCTTTCAGAATCAGACATGTCCAGACTGGCCGCCTCTCCGCTGTCGCAAGACAGGTCTCCTCTGGCGTGTGGCTGCAGATGTGCGAGTTCCCGGTGTTCTTCATGTTCATGTTTGAGTCCGTCATGGATAACGGAGCGTTCGCCGGAATGACTACGTCCATTTGTGTATGTCTCCTCTGCATCTCGCCGGGACCTGATCCCGCCTTGCAGGGTCCATTTGGCCGAGATGCCGTGCCATACGCTGAATGTCGCTGGAGGCGGAACGAATGATGATGCGCAGAAGCTCGCGTTTTCCGGAGAGAAGAGCAATAGTGACAGGTGGTTCATTGACGCCTTCGATAGAGGATAGAGAGGCGGTACTGGCATCTTTGTCTGCTGAGCACTGAAACTCGTAATCGGTGCGAATTGATTGTCTTGCTTGGCTTGAGATTGCTGGCCTATGTTCTTTTCCATTTCTGCAAATGAGACTGCTGGTGGCTTGCGTGCGGTTGACGGCTAGGTTAATTCATCTATCGCGCACGCGTCGCCTCGCCGTTGATCTATCTGCACGTCGCGCCCCTCTTCACCGGCATGCGGCGTTTCGCCCTGATCCCGGGATCTTTTCCCGGCAGCGGGAGAGGGCGGACTTGCGGAGAGGAATTAAACTCCAGCACGCGGCTGTCGCACCAGCTCTCAAAGAAAGACATCAGTTGTATCGATCCGGTGCGCCACGGTTCCAGAGGTGTATGATAGGGATCGCAGCGTTGGTGTCACCGCATCTGACTGACTCACTGACAACGCGTCTGCTGTCCTCCGAGGAGCATCGCAGCTCATGCTATTCTGGCGAGTGGTGCTGATCCAACCACCCTTTAGTAGGTGGGGAGCCGCGATTCTCCCGCACCTAATTCTGCTGCCACGAGTCTCCTGACACACCGTAATAACAAAGCAGGGTTTAATGGAAGTTTCAGATGGTGATCACCACCGAGATCCAGGAAATAGGACGAAGTTGGCGGTGAGGCTGCGGCTGCGGCCTCTGTAGACTCGCAAATGACACTCTTGTTTCCCGATCCAGTGCGGATAGTCTGGAAAGTGGGGTTCGCTCGAGAACTGTCAGGCAGCCTTCTTCTATGTTCTTGCTGTGTCGCTTCTGTATGACTGGAGCTGTGTCTCGCCTTCGGTACCGCCCGAAACGGTCCCTCGTTCTCATCGGTGGCGCTTCATTCTACCTCATGTTTTGTTCTGGGCACACCCTGAAGAGCGTACCCTCGATTTCAAACGGAGTAAGCCGTCGGGAGAGGACCGGCCCGATCCAAGTATATATCATTATGAGCGCCTTCGAAGATTATGAAGCATCTTGAACTGATGAGAAAGCTGTTGAATGCTTTTCTATGACTCGACGCTTCCTGTCCAAAGATGAAACACTGCCTCTGCGCCGTCTTTTGGGCTCAGACCAGTCAGGGTTTGCGCATGGGAAGGGTAGCTCGCAATCAATGCTTGTTTCACAGATAATGAGCTGCGGATTCGGTCCGAACTGGAGGAGCAGATGGCAGCCATGTGGATCTGACCTGGGCTCTGCAGGACTGTGGGCAAAGACGGTATCAGGGCGCGGGAGTGTTCGTACGCGAGATCTGGGCCAGCCGATGCCATCGTTGTTGGTGATGGCGCCGCAATCCCGGAGCATGGCGTCGTGATTGAGATTTGACTTGATCGCATACAAGTGCCACAGCGTTCGCGAGTATGTCTCTGGTCAATCTCGACTGCGTTTGCCCCTCCCTGTCTCCATGTCACTGCATGTTTGCTTCCGGAGCCCGTTCCGACTGGCGTTTGATCCACTGGCATACCGGGAAACACCCCGTCAATGCTTCACCATCAATCTGCACTCCCGAGTTGTTGAACGTCCGAAGGCCAATATGCCATTCCCACGTAGACTAGAACCGCTTAGTCTCCGTCCGAGGAAATTGAGACTGGGCCGGAGAGGGCGAATGTATTTCGCCAGTGAACGCGGGGCTTAGCACAACAGCACGTAAAAAAACAAGCAGGCGGCGTAATAAGAGGGCAAGCGGCCAAAGGGCCTACTGAGCCCGTGCTGCAAGTCAAGCGAGTCATGCAATCTCAGATTCATGATCGTCTGTCTAAATATCCCCGATTCGTGCTGGCGGACAAGCAACCCTGGGCGTTAGAAACCACGAGGCGGCACCCGAGGACCATTTAAGACAAAATCATTCGGTCGCCTATTCCTGGCTCGCCCTTCTCTCCCGTTCTCCCTTCATCATGAACTACCTTTCAAACGTGTTGTCGCCCTTGGGCATGAGCACTGGCGCTATCCAGGATACAATGGTCCGTCCCCCGCTGGACCCACATGCCCCCACAACTACTGCTCACCGTGCACACACAGAAACTGGTGGTCATCGGAGGCACCGTAGAGACCGCGCGACGCGTGTCCATGTCGGCTTGGAACGGGTTCGTTGACTGTGCGTACACCCTTCTGCTCGCACGTCTTGTCCCTGAACGTCACCCGTGTCAAGCCTTCTTCCTCACCGCGCACTTCAGCGAGGACGACTACCCTTATGACTGGTGCGTATCCCTCCCCACTGCCATCCTTACATCTGTGTCGCTTATACCCTCACCCAGGCTTATGCATTGGCTGTCCAAGGTCCGCGAGCGTCGCTAAGTGGTCATTTTGCATATATTGACAGCCTGTCAGCAACCCGCCTGGGGTCGCAGCCGCGAATTCGAGATTACGACGCGCAGTGTGAACCGCACGGGCATGAGCGAGCCGACGACGGGAGATGTGGAGGAGGACGACGAGTGCGAGGACGATAACGACCTCGTCCATGGACGCAGGAAACGCAAGGTGGCGTTCATGCCGAGCGTCGGTGAGTCCAAACAAGCCCAAGCTGCCTGACAAATTCTGATTTCGTGCCCTCCCCACCCGCCGGCTCACCCTCCATTTGCTTCCATTCCTGTCAACGCGCAATTAATTTCTGAACGCACCGCACCATAAGACACGACTCATACGATCTACTACGTGCGTTCTCACCCTCGGAGTGCGCTCCAAGATGGTTGACCCTCCATCTCCGTTTCTAGCGCGGCCACTGGCTCAGGGTATTGTGGCGCCGTTTTATTCGGCCAACACGGGCTAATCACCGCCGCAGATAACGCGTACACAGCGTTACCCGGATTACGGACACGGCGCCGCTTTGAAAGTCAGGTGCGCGCTCCGGTGTTCCGAACGCATCCCACTGGCTCATTCCTTCCTGTCTTCATCAGCGTCGTCGCGCGCAACAATGATATCCTGAAAAAGCTCGTCCTCGAGGCGAAGCGGGAGTACGAGAAAGACGCCGAGCACCGGGTCCATATCTTCATGGCCGACACGTACGTGATTGCCATCCTTGATATCCGAACACCGCCGCCTGAACGGGGGTCCCTAGCACGTACAGCTGCTGGCGTTGGAACGGCGCTCGGCAAAAGCGGCCGATGACATCTATCGTCCTGGAGCCGGGAGTGAAGGAGATGCTGCTGGCGGACTGCAAGGACTTTTTGTGCTCGGAGGAGTGGTATGCGGAGCGAGGCGAGTGAGATGAGTTCATTTGCGGACATGCCTTGACAGGGATCCACTAGGCATTCCTTTCCGCCGCGGCTATCTGCTGCACGGTGTACCCGGAAGGTGCGCCCGAGCTTCTAATATCCATGGACTGTCGCCTAACCTTCCTCTCTCTCAGCGGCAAGACTTCCCTTATTCATTCGTTGGCTGGTGAACTAGGTTTAGATATCTATGTCGTCTCTCTCTCTTCCAAGGGGTAAGCGCTCACCGCTGTCTGCTTCTGATTGATTCTTACGGAAATGAATGCATAGCATGAGTGATAACACATTGACTACTTTGATGGGCCATGTTCCATCCAGGTGAGTCATTCTCAGCAATATGCGCGCGGACTTCTGAACTGACGGCATTGGAGGTGCATTCTCCTGCTTGAGGATCTCGATGCCGCGTTTACGCGCTCGGTGAGCCGTGATTCTTCGTCTAACGGAACGCCAACTTCGACATCCACAACCACCACCGCGGGCGGCAGCGCGACTCCGCCGGCTGAGTCTGACGGCTCGACTCTGAGTCTGAGCGGACGTAAGTGTCTGCCACGCGACCCAGATTGATCGTCGGGACCTCATCCTATCGCAGTTCTGAACAGTCTGGACGGGGTCGCTGCTGCCGAGGGTCGGTTGCTGTTTGCCACGACGAACCACATCGAGCGTCTCGACCCCGCGTTGAGCCGGCCCGGGCGGATGGATGTGTGGGTCAATTTCACTCACGCCACCAAGTGGCAGGCCGAGGGCATTTTCAAGTGCTTCTTCCCTCACTCAGCCAAAGCGCCGCCCGCCGAGGAGGCCGACGCGGCGAAAGACGCGTCGCAGAAGAACCTGCCTGTGCCGAAGCGCAAGGCGTTCAAGCACGCCGTTCCCATTCTAAGTGAAGCTGAGATTGTTGAACTTGCCAAGCGATTCGCAGCCGCCATCCCCGAAGACGAACTGAGTGTGCGCATGCTGTTGTCCCCGGGTGCTGTTGCATGATGCTGATGCTGATGCTGGGACAGGTCGCCGGTCTTCAAGGATACCTGCTCAAGAACAAGACCCGTCCCCGCGAATGCGTCGACGAGGTCGCCGAGTGGGTCATCTCCGAGCGCGAAACTCGCGAAAAGCTCAAGAAGGAGAAAGCCGAGGTCTCTTTTCCTGCAGCTTCTGTGTGTGTGGTTGACCATGACTGACTCCCCTTCCTTAGCGCGAAGCCAAGGAGAAGAAGGAAGCCGAGGAGAGGGAGAAAAAAGAAGTGCGTGATCTTTGCCTGCTTATCTTTTTGGCTTACATCGTTCGCAGAAGGAGGAAAAGGAAGCCAAGGAGGTGCGTTTATCCGATTGCAGACGTGTCTTATCTGCTGACAACCACGCTCAGAAGGAGGAGAGGGAGACCAAGGAGGTGAGTTTATATGGCCTGTCACCCATCGCCGTGGATCGTGACCTCTCTTCCAGAAACTTGAGCGCAAAGAAAAGGCTAAGAAGGCGGCCGCCGCTGCCAAGAAACTCGGGGAAACCTCCGCGGCTGAGCAAACCTCCACCGCTTCGAGCAGTGAATCCGCGACGGAAAGCTCAAGCGGGGCCGATGCTGACACGGAATCCGTCGCTTCTGAGGAAGAGACGGATGACACCCCCAAGAAGGAGAAATGGGTTGCGGTCAAGCCTCAGCCCCTATCGACAGCGGCAGCGGAATCGCAGACTGAAGCAGTCAGCGACGTCGAGCCGAGCGAAGAGCCCTCCGGTCCTTAAATGCATGTGAATATGCGCGCTTGCTCTGGACTGGAATGGCTGTTTGCTCCATGCTCCGCTTCCCGAAATGGGATCCCGCCGCTGAATCTGTCTCTCCACGCATCTACTGGTTCTCGATTGTGTGTGTGTGTCTGTGTGTTCGGTCGTTAGTTACTCTGTGCTTGTTGATACGTTAGACGGAATGGCATCTTTCTGCGTGGCTTTCGCCGCCCGCTCTCTATCACCATCGAATACGTGACTCGTAAAAGATTGTCTGTCTATGTCGGTTTTACATTCACATCCGAAAGAGTCTTGAAAGCCTCCTTGTACGCGTCCAGCAGCGCTTTGACCCGAGTCCTCTCCGCAACCAGCCCCTCATCCTCATGCAGCATCTCCTGGAACAGCTCCGGCTTGTACAGCGACGCCACCAATCGGTTCTGTACGTGGTTCGAAGTGTGGTTGACCAGCAAGTGCATAATCGCCTTCGGCACTAGATCCTGGATCGTCTGGCGGACAATGCCAAAGTAGGAGGTGATCAGAGAACGAATCAGCGAGGTCTCCATCTCTTCTCGCATCGTCAGCTGGTTGCTCTCAAACGGCACCGCCTCGATGTGCTTGCCCAAGCTCTTCATGTCAAACGCAGCATTCTGGCCGTCCACCCGTTGGCCCGACATCAGTCCAGAGGCCATCGCCATCGTCGACACCTCCCCACCGGAAAGATCCCGGCCGACAGGTTTTGCCGGATTGCTGCCAACCGCCGAACCAGAAAGCGGCCCCGGCCCATTCTGCCCAAAGAAGTAGTTCAAAAACGCCTCCCGAGCCGAAGGAGGCGACCCCCGATGCGTCATGGCGCTCATGGCAGACTGCGGCCGGGGCTGTGCGATTTTCCTCGAGGTCAAAGTCGCGGGCGCTGACCCGGTTGACGCGCGAGTGCGGTCTGGCAGAGACGCTGACACAGACCGGTCCGTCTGTCGTGGAGGGAACATGCCATTAGGTAGTCCATTTTCGTCCGATGAATCCACATCGTCATCCTCCGTCCCTGTCCCATTCGTGGGTTCGGTCGAAGTCGGCTGGGTGACTTCAGAGACGGTCATACGTTTGACATAAGTGCATCACTCACCCGTAATGGCATCTGGGGTGCAGGTGGCGAACTGGCTTGTTGGGCAGCAGCGGCCGATCCAGAGATAAACGCCGGATGGTTGGTGTTGATGTATGCCGCCTGGATCGCGATGAGACTCTCCGTGTACTCTGACGTCGGTCCAAGTCTTTCTCGAAGGAGCTCAGAGACTACTTCAATCAATTTGGCATGAAGACCGGGGAATCGTTGCAGTTCCTAGTACATCTGAGTAGATGCGAGCCAATTTAGTGAAGAACTCACGGAGTTGGTGCAGTTATGACAAATCTTCACCAATTCTTCATAAACAAGCTCGACGCAGCGCAAACTGGGCATCTCGAGGAGCTTGATCTGAGGCTTGACGAGCAGGTCGAACGCGATCTCCGGCACAAAGAGACTAGGGCGAGGCCCAGTTGAGTTCCGGATGGCCGTTCGGATGTCCTGATTCTCAAGATTCTGAGTGGCGTCGATCGAGTCCAAGGCGCTGCCAAAGACGTCATTGAAGATGTAATAAATCCTCGCGCCGCCTGATAGCTCCTTCGTCGACACATCTACTTTTGTGCCCTCAATTGAGGCGACAAAGTCTCGCGCAAACTGGGTCATGAGACGAAGAATAAGAGCGCCTTGCTGCAGTAGACACTATCAGCAGATATCAAGCAGCGATCATAGACAACAGACTTGGTTTTGATCCCCGAAACTCTCCGAGTCCCCGAACGAATTAAGCTCTTGTTGTGCCTGTCCCATTAACGTGTTGAGACGCGCTTTCATATCCGGAAGCTTGTCTCGTATATGATTCATCAAGACCTGAATGGTGCCTTGTTAATGTGGAGAGTATAATGTGACGCGGAAAGGCAGACCTGGTTGAGAGACTTCGCCAGATACTTCGTCCCATTCTTGTGTGCCACGTTCCGGTATGCAGGGTGGCTCTTGAAGAACTCGGACTCGCTGTTTAGCGCGTCACCCATACTTTTCTCCGAGTTGATGTCTTGCTGACTCCTGTTCACGATCCCGATGAACCCGAGCTTCAAAGGGTAGACACGCCCCGTCAGAATATCGAGCGCATTTGTCCCAGCGTCCATCAGGTCGAGCTTCGTCAGGACTCCGATCGTCCTCCTTCCTTGGGGGTCAACTTGACGTGCGAGCTTGAGCGACTCCGAGTTGGCGAGATCCACATTGGCAGGAGAGACGGACAGAATGACACTGGAAAGTCATTCGAGCCGTTGCATCTCTTGAAAAATGGACGGCGGTACCTATTCGGCTTCGAAATGTATTCTAATACCAGGTTGCGAATTTGTCGCTCGATGTCGCTCGGCTGGTCACCGACAGGAATCTTCCGACGCGTCATGAAGAACTTGAACTGTATGAAAAAGGCACAAAGACTCACTTTCGTCAGCCCGGGCAAATCAACCAGAGTCAGGTCCAGCACGTCCGGGCTGTAAATGCGGAGCGATATTGGCAACTTGCTGACCCCCTTATTCAAGCCCGCCACCCGCAAAGTCTCCTGCTCAATCTCTTTCCGAATCTCATTGAAGTCGGTGAACTTCTTGTCGATGTGAAGGAACTGGCCCCATTCGCGAAATGTCGGGCTGCTGGGGGAGGGGTCGGTGGATTCGGGTCGGTGGATCAACTGAAGAACGAGAGGTCGCCGTGTAACAATGCCCTGACCACGAGGAAGGAAATCTCGCCCGACGATACTAGCAAAGGTAAGCGAAAGGCAGGACAAAGCGGGAAAGAGAACCACACACGTCTCGAGTACGCTAGACTTTCCCGCCGATTGACTGCCCACCTGTCCTCCAAATGAGAAAGCCGAAACGACTCCTATGTCAGTTTGCACTCACAACGACGAGCTGGGGCATGTCCAGCTCACCCCCTACGCGTAAAATGTTCAATGCTCCACGATGAGGCAAGCGAGTGGCTGAGCATACCCAGGTTGCTGAATGTGTCCTGGAGCTTGTTCACGAGCTTGATGAGATCGGAGTCCATGATGGAGGAGAGAGAAGATGGGCAACGGCCCAGAAAACGCGTGAAAGTAGCGACCGTCCGCCTTGAAGCGCGTCGTCACGGCAAGTGGTCAAACTTTGGTCACTTTGGTGATGTTGGGTCACTTCCTTGATCGCGCCTCAGAGTAGTTTCCCAGTATTACTTATAACGAGAGCAAGCTACATAGCATTAAGGAAGTTGAGCAAGTCCTTGCGGTTTGCATCGCGTTCGTCGTCACCCTTTTCCTTCTTCACTTTGAGCTTGATCTGTGAGAGCCTCAAGCATCAGCATAGAATCGCAGGACGACCAGCATGGAACGGAAATGACCGACCTTCTTGCCAGTCAGAGCGCTCCTTCTCTCTTCTTTGTCGCCATCCTTAGCTCGTTCCCGCTCCTTCCTCCGTTTACGACGCTTGCGATCCTCGTCGGAACCATCTTCATCCTTGTCTCTGCGCTTGTGGTCTCTGCGTTTAGAACGGTCGTGGTCGCGTTTATCCCGGTATGATTCACGATCCTAGATGAGTCGGATAGGTTGTTGGGTTGCGTGACAGCACCTTGCGAGGTCAGAGGAGATAGGCTGGGAAAGATGGCGTCGCACAATGGAGTGGTCCCGAGGGAGATAGCTCTCTGAGCTTCGGCTCCTGCTTCTGCCGTGGCCTGAAGACCGAGCGTAGTGGCGCTGCGAATTTGTATAGTTACTTTTGAAGCCTCGAGCTCTGAGGAAAGTAGCTTACAGAGCGCTGCGGGCTTGCACTTCGTTGACGCTAATGGAAGAAAAAAACGATCGGCCAGTGGGTGGTACGCACGGAGAGCGAACCCACTGAATGTCTATCATCTCTATGTCGAGAGCGATGGACGGATCGCGCGCTAGAGTTGCCATCCTGCGGTCCAGGTGAGCCTAGCCGGCCTCAAGATGTAACGGTCGGCGCCAACACACATCTGCTCTCTCGAACGTTGCCGTTCCCGCAGAGTGATTGTCATAGGTGCGACTTCGTTCCAAATCCGTTGTTTGCTCGAAAGAACGACGGTGATGCGTTACTTGGGCAGGTTCCACTTCGTCGCGCAGGACATTTGAGCGGGAAGAGGTGTGCAATTTATGGTATTCCGACAATGCTGAATCCTCTCTCCGTTCTTGTGATGATTTTCAAGTGTAACGTCGAGAAAGCGCAAGCAGAAAGTAATCAACGGACAAGGATGAGCTTTGCTTTGCTTGCATGCGTTGTGTTTTAGATCGTCCTTACCGACGTGGGGAGGAGGTGGTTTCAAAGTTTGGTCCCACCTTGACGAGTATCCCATCATTCGAGAGCTGACTGTTGGGGAACGAAGCAAACGCAGAACTGAGGGTTTCGATTCGGAAGTAAAGCCGATCATGACAGCGGCGCAAAGTAAGTGCAACACGCTTGAGCGGCTGAGCCATATCTGAGTACTTTGTTCTTACCACTAATATTCACCCCATGAATTGTGAACTGGCAATTGCTTCTCAATTCAAGAGTTGGTTGATGTATTTACCTACCCTACCATGCGATTCCGTCCTTGTACGTCAACAGAAATTCAGAGAGTCCATAATCTTGCATTGAAGACCTTGCGGTCTTAGGTGGTCCAACGGTCAAGATTCCTGCTTGTCAAGCAGCAAAGCCTTCGGGCTTGGCTTCAACACTCGCAGGCGACCGGGGTTCGACTCCCCGCCTGAGAGCTCTTTGATGTTAGTCAATCATGTTCAGTCCATCTTTTTTATAATACCATACCAGAAGCTGTGCAAGAGCCAGATCATTGGCAATACCGCAGAATTCTATTAGAGCGTGTTTTCTTCGCATGGACAGCGGGCGAACATGTTTATGAATGACTCTGAATTTATCACATGCTACTGTAAGTCCTAGCTTGAGCGCTCGACAGGCGGGACGACCCTGGACTACTAGTTGCTCAAGCTTTTGAATTCCAAGTCTCGGCCGGATTTCAGTGACAGGGTCGCACTATCTCAGTTGACATTGCGCCTTTCCGTGCATTAAGGACGGTGCCTCCGTGTTCCAGATTACGGACCATCTACATCTACATACTACAGACCCTGAGAGGGCCGCGGTCCAGACCCAGACCTGGGGCATTGCGCTGCAGAGGCCCAGCTCCTGCCCACAAGACACCGAATTCAATTCTGTTCCGTCTGTCGCGCCTGCGCAACCAAAGATTCGGCAAAGTCCTGGAAATCATTCCTCTTGCAGGCCCGGCCAGGCTAATGAAATTTGAGATACTGTCGATTCGATGGACAGCCTTTTCTCTGACCTTGAACGCATAGACAGCCGTTTGTCCGGTTGCTTCTTTCATAGCCACGCGCAGGACAAGGTCGTGTGCGTCGAATGTGCATCGCACAGTCGGCTGCATGAGCACGTTCATGGACACTTTCCATAAAGGTTCACGGCGAAAGACTGGCGATTCTCAGCATCAGCGATCCGAAGAAAAGTTGTTGACACTCACGAAGACGTTTTATGCCAGTCGCTCGGTGAGACAAAAACTTGATGTGTCCGACCATCCCACTGGAGAAGGCGTCGTCACCTTGTTTCACAAAAAGCTTAACCCCTTTGGCCTCGAGGACAACATCTTCGTCCTCTTCACCCGTGGAATCTGGCGGATAAAGGTAGTTGGAATTCAGGTCGCTCATCAGTGGAGATGAGCAGCAAACGCACGAGATTGGACTTGCAAGACGCCCGCCTTCGCAGCCAATAGCGCGGGTGCCTCCTCCTTTTGAGAATCACTGGATTTGTCCTTGATCCAACTCGGTTTCGAAAGGGCTGCGTTCGATGATCCGAATGTTGCCGAAGTTGCGGCCGCAAAACCAGCGAATGCACCTGTAGACGCATTTCGCTGAGCTGAACTGAGCAGCAGCACCAATGTGAACACTTATGACAGACACTCACAGTCGTCGGAAAAGACGGAAAGCGCGGAGGAGTTTGTGGAAAGGCAAATCGCGGGCCCGGACAGTCGCTGCTCTTTGCTGGGGTTTGGGGAGACACGAGCACTTCCAAAGAGCTCGTCGGCTGCGCTGCTTCCGATATGTTCTCCACAACAGCTGGCACCAGTGACTTGTCGACTGGCCGAGTCTCAGCTGGAATACCAACCTGGAAAATATGAATGCCAATGGAACACATTAGACTGCGCAGAGCGTACCTGCTCTGATTCCTCTTGCGGCGGCTCAGAGTTGTTTCTTCTCTTGTTAGGATAAATGGCTTTCAGATTCTGGTGTGCGCGTTGAATGTGGGCCGGACGCTGAAAGGTATTGGACACACATGTGGATAGCCCATCTCCTATTTCTGAACGTCAGTCACTTGGATCACTACAGAAACCCCAACGGTGCGCACCGGATCTATCTCATCCTCCTCATCCTCGGGTGACCTCTTGCGCTTGAGAACGACAGATTCCAGATCGGGGATCGGGGCGGAGGGTGATTCAACGTCTTCCGGGGTAGCCAAATCAGTGATTTCATCGGCTGGAGGCATAGCTGCTTTTTCGGGAGAATTGATCGAAGTCGCGCTTGTTCCAGACGATGTACTGGGCTCCGCTTTCTCCTGGCTCGATGCGGGATTGGGTGATGACATAGCACGTCTGTAGAAAGGGAAGGTCATTCAAGGCAGAAGTGATCGCGAAGAATATAGTGCACGTTGGAAGCGATCTGATCTTGCGCGCGGCAGTGTAGCCTGCAGTTGCTGCGAGAGTCGCGAGGCCACAAAACACGATAGGCAAACTCTCCACAACCGTCACTGGGAGCATGATAAGCAAAATGTGGGGGTGGGGGGAGACTAGCAAAGTGAGAGGTCAATAAGTCTGGGGAATGTCTTATATGGATGCAGCACGCTGCCTAAGCGTGATTGCTCCGCCTCGAGGTCGTAGATTGAGATACACGAGGCAAACACACGGTTGCTGAGAGATCATCTGAGCGCCTCACCAAGGGCGGCGCGCTCCAAGGGAGTTCAGATCGCGGCGTGGTGCTCAAGAGCGACATCATTAGCCTCGACCATACACTCTTCAATCCCTGCAGAGAGATTCGCACCGATGACAGAGGGAAGACAGAATGAAGCGGCGACACGTCTTCCTTGACCTCTCAACCTTCTGTAACTCCGTGGACAGTGTTGCAAGGCGCGTCGACCCAGAGGAGCGGAGTTGATCTTATTCATCGGTCCCCAGTTATCCGTTCGTAGCCGCCCCGGAATCTCTCTCGCCGTTGCGGAGAATTGGAGATAGCCGAGCAGATTTCCGATCACGTGTCAGAAGAAGTCTACGTGTACCTTCCCCTTTGGGGTATAAATCCGAGTCCTGTGTCTATACCAATCCTTCATCTCCCTCCATCACCATGGTTTACTCGCAGCTTTTGCTGTCTCTCGTGTTGGCCCCCGCGTTTGCCTCGGCTGCCATCTTCCCGAAGGATACTGTGGTGAAGATGCTCGATGCCAAATCCTTCAAACGCGCCATGAAAGCCAACGTCCGTGCTAATCCCGACTGGTCTTTTCATTGACTAGAGCGCTTTGTAGCAAACGAGCATGGTCGCCTTCGTCGCTCCCTGGTGTGGTGTAGGTATATCGTGCTGCTCGAAATCACGTCCTAACTCTTACATTAGCACTGCCAACGTATGGCTCCGGAGTATAGCAAAGCTGCCCTGGGTTTGCACCCTCTTGTCCCCACGTATGCTGTGGACTGTGACGAGGAGAAGAACAAGCGTCTCTGTGCGGAACAAGGTGTTAAGGGTTTCCCCACCGTGAAGGTGAGCGGATCGCAGTGTTTGATCCTAGCACAGCACCCATAACTCTTACAGGTCTTCCCTCGCGGATCTGACGCTCCTCCTATCACTTACGACTCTGGAGAGAGGACAGCAAGTGCTCTGTACTACTTTGCATCCCGGCGCGTTCCATCTGCCTTCAAAAAGCTGTATCAGGTGGAAGATCTGAAACCCTGGATTGAGGAGGTACCATTCGATCTGTCACACCGTACCAATCTCACGCTCTCCAGACTGTCGGACAAACACGAACTCTTCTCTTGACCAAGGACAAGAAAGTCCCATTGTTGTGGAAGGTGCTTGCGAACCAATACAAAGGCCAGCTTGAGTTTGGCACGCACCGCGATCGCAAGGGAAAGGGATCGGAGGCTCTGGGATTCGAAGCTGGCGAGAAGAAAGATTCAAAGGTCCTTGTCTACTCTGCCGGTTCAACAAAGCCTTTCCGATACGAAGGTACGAGGTAATGCGTCAAGTCGCGTAGGCACACCTCATCCCATTTCCAGGGATCAACAAGCTCGACTCTCTTTCCAAATTCTTCGACTCGGTTATCGACGGATCCGCAGACCTGGCCGTGGCCAACGAAGAGGCCAAGGCTGAGGAGTACAATCCCACAGAAGAAGAGCTGGAGATCCAGCGCAAACAAGAGGCTCAAAGGATCGCTCTCCTTCACGGAGGATTTGCAAGCCTGGTTGATTTTGAGAAAGCTGTCCTTTCCGGGGATGCTGCAAACTACCACGATATCAATGGCTTCGGTTCACCTCCCGCTGCCAAGAAAGAGACGCCACCCGAGACTGTTGCTGCTCCTGAGCCCACACCCGAGGCGCAAGTGGGCAAGGACGAGTCTGAGCTGTAGTGCAGACCAGATCTGTGTACTTATTCATCGTCGCTCTATTGTTATTCATATGGGGGTCGTTCATGAGATTTGTCATATTTCGGTTTCTGAGCCGATTGTGCGGGGATCGCGTCGAAGTCTGGAGAACACTAGAGAAGTATCCGTTGCGTATTACACACCGATTGTCAGCAGAGAGATAATTCGCACCAAATAAACACCTAATTTAGATTTGCAATACTTACACTTCCCTAGTTTCTACTACCGCGTCGCTGCTCTGCGAAATCCCGAATGGCGAAGAAATCGGGAAAAGCAAAGAAACCGACCACGGTAGATCCCGTGCCCCAGGCTAACGGGTGCGTGTGCCGTCAAACGCAATCATTCTTGCTCACGGGCTTGCCGCTTCGCAGAGAGGAATCAATGTCGTCAGCAAGTACCAGCACCCCTGCGGTCGAGGCGGATCCTTCTCCAATCTCTGCACCGGAATCCGAGGAAGAAGGCGATGTCCTCGTGCGGGCGGAGAAAATGAAGGAGGAAGGGAATGTGCAGTTCAAGGCGAAGAAGTACGATGAAGCGGTCGCGCTGTACACCAAGGCTATAGGTAAGCGTCAGATTCACTTCATTTCTTATCCCGTCCTTCGCCGATTGAACCTCCGCCGAAGAGTTGAATCCGAATGAGCCTGCATACCTTACGAACCGCGCTGCTGCGTACATGGCCGTGAAAAAATTCCGGGCTGCTTTGGATGATTGCCAGACTGCGGCTCAGATCCAGGCAGCGGCACCTTCTGCGAAGACGCTTCTCCGGCTAGCCCGATGTCAATTTGCGCTCGGATCGACAATCCCTACGCTCTCTACATTGAGGACAGTCCTCTCCCTGGAGCCCAAAAACGCTGCAGCACTACAACTGCAGAGCAAGATCAATGTACTTGAAGGTCACTTGAACACGTTCGAAGGAGCTCGATCGAAGAAGGATTGGGGGCTCGCACGATTGGCGCTCGATAAGTGCCTGCAGGGCATCGAGAGTGAGGGTGGCGAAACACCTCTCGAATGGCGTCTATGGCGTGTGGAGCTGGAATTAGCCCGTGGTAACTTCGACGCAGCCAATAACGCGGCAAAGTGCGTCTTCTCATCGCCCGCGCTCCTCCCGTTATTAATCTATGACTGAAGCGATGCGTTGCGGAACAACTCGAGCTCGTGCGAGGTATTGACCACACGGGCCCTCGTTCTTTTCCTAAGTGGGCGACTGCCCCAGGCCATAAGCCATGTGCAATCCGCATTGCGCAACGACCCTGGTTTCGAGCCTGCACAGAGGTTACGGAAGCGTGTGAAGGAGGTCGAACGGCTCAAAGAGGAAGGAAATCAGGCTTTCAAGTCTGGTCGACTCGAAGAGGCTATTCAGAAATATACTGAAACTCTTGAGGTGTGTGTATCCTCACGACTTGCTGGATGTCGTTCTGCAGCTTGCATCGGTGTTAGCGTATTGGTTCGGCTGAGGAGGAGGGAAAAGGCGGACAGATCCGTGCAACTCTTTTGTCGAACCGGGCGACAGCGCTCGTGAAGGTACGATCTCAGTTGGACGCCTTGGACCTGCGTTGACCCAATACTGCAGCTCAGTCGATACGAAGAGGCCCTCCAGGACACCACCACCTCACTGCAGCTTGCCCCGGCATCTTTCAAAGCACTGCGCACTCGAGCTCGTATCAATCTGCACATGGAACAGTACGAACAGTCGATCGCGGACTTCCAAGAAGCCATTCGCCAGGCGCAGAGCGATGCCAACTCCAGTGATGCCGAGGTCCGAGCACTTCGCTCAGAGCTGAAGAAGGCCGAGGCTGCTCTCAAGCGAAGCAAGACAAAAGATTACTATAAGATCCTTGGAGTGGCAAGAGACTGTTCGGAGGCAGAGATCCGGAAAGGCTACAGGCGCGAGAGCTTGAAACACCATCCAGACAAGGTGAGGGGTTCTCCGTGTCTCTTTTCTTGGTCTCAAAGATTGCCATACGAAGGGTGGTGACGAGGAGAAGTTCAAGCTCGTTGTCGAGGCGAACGCGGTGTTGTCTGATCCTCAACGTCGAGAACGTTACGATAACGGAGACGACGAAGACGGCATGAATGAATCCGGAATGGGCGGCATGGGTGGTATGGGTGGTGTCGATATCAGTGAGCTTTTTGCCCAGTTCAATGGCGGAGGCGGAGGCGGATTCCACGGCGGCGGCTTCGGCGGCTTTCCTGGAGGGGGAGGTGGTTTCCGTTCTGCCGGCGGCTTTCCAGCAGGTGGTCGAGGCCATTCCCATGGCTTTGGCTTCTAGAATGTTGTGTATATACCTAGGTTTCGCAGATGTATATACTAGATCTTCTTGCCCCCATCTATCTCATCGATCGGATCAAATTCGGAGCGTGTGTCGTGACACCTGCACGTGGGCAGTCAGGACCAAACTTTGGCCAAACGCCCAAACTTTCCTGTCGCGTCCACGACCCTGATTCTTCACGCTCCTTGTTGAGATGTTCAACCTCATCCGCCGGATTTCGAGCTCTGTGATCCCGCGCCCGGACCGGCCCTGGGAGGACGATGGTGAGTGTCCCTTTCATTGCATCTCCAACAAGCTCTTGTGAATTACGCGTCTTTTCGAGGCGTTTCCTGGCCCTTGTCTCCACTTCAATGCTCTGGTCTCTAAGGCAAATACTGAAATCATCCTTAGCGACGTCGAACGCACCCCACGTTGGCAAGAAGCGGCGGATGACGGACGACGATCGTGACGACGACGACGAGCAAGCACGCCAGAAAAGAGCCAGAGCTATAGCTCCGGACGCCGCCGAGGACGAGGCCCGCGGCAGCTCGGCCGCGCCTCAGTCCCAAGTTCCGGACACATCCGACGTCAAAGAGGTCACGAAGGGTGTTAAAGAAGTAGAGTTGGAGGATAAACCGGCACCAGAGAGCGTGCCGCTCCCTGATGAGGAGGAGACCGGTGAACTGGAGCCAGAACTGGATTCAAAGGCGGAGGAGGAAGCCTCCCCCAGATCGGCAGCACGGCCTGAGACCGCCGCTGCTGAAGGCGAATCAGTACCCCAAGATGATCCGAAACTCGAGACCACCGCGCCTGAGGACGTCGCGCAAACTGCTGTCGTGGACATTGCCACTGAAGAGCCGGAGCATCCAGTTGGTGATGCTCCTTCCACGAATGGCTTGAACGAAATCGAAGCCAAAGATGAGACGACAATAGCCGAAGCAGAATCAACCATCGCTCAAAAGCCGACGGCCGTCACGACAAGCGACGACGATGAATGAATCTGGCAGTGATATCTGGCATGGTTCTACACGATTTACCCCTACCATTATTATCTTTTTGCTTTTGTACGCCCCTCTGAGGAGAGACGTTGTATCTCCCTGCTTTGTTTCTTGCTTACTCGACCACTGGTACCCAATTTGTACACATAGGATGCGGACGGCTAATGCGCAAGTCTCCTTGTTTTTCGACATGAACTAGGCTTGGGACTGGGCTTTTGAACGAACAGAGAAGCTTCCAGAGATACGAAATGATATCAGACTTGCGATCGAAAAATTCGACCATCCGTTGAAAGCCGTCTGCACCATTTGCAGAGCTGTTCCACAGGAGAGCAGCCTCGTGAACGAACCTCTTTGAGCTCCAAGACCCGAGGTAGAGGTCGTCCTTGGAGCGTTTCTCGGAGAACAATCATGATGACATTGGGAGTATGAGAAATGTGCAGCGAAGCTCAAGGCAGATGGCGTCGTCCGCGGTAGAAACCTCGGAAGGTGCAAGTACGAAGTGCCTTCGCCCAATCGCGAGTAAGCAATCAACTTCAAATGTTCCGAAGGAGAAGCTTGACGGAGACGGGAGCGGGGCATGAGCATACAGCGATCGACCGTCTAAGGCCCGGTCTGGCCCCGTGCTGGTGATGCGGAATGGCCGCAATGAGTCAGCTGATGTTACGATTCCTCGCTCGGCAACTTCCAACACCTCTTCCGGACCGGTCATAATCGGACAGCGCCAAATCGTAATGGCATGCATTCTCTTTTACCATCCATGCCCCACTTCTGGTCCAAGGGCCACGCCGATGAGGCGTCGACTAGCTCTGCCAAGGACTTGAAAGAGACCCAGAGGATCGAAATCGTGGTGGACAATCCCTACCTCACGCTCCGAGGGCACGGATCCGACGTGGAGCCTGGCGTCCTCTCTGGAACGGTTGCGCTCTGCCTCGCTGAGGCGACGGATCTGCGCTCCGTAACGCTCGAGTTTCGCGGCGAAGCATACCTCCCGCTGGCAGTCACATCCAGCCAAGACGCATTCATCGGAGATCCTCCCACAGAGTATGTTTTTGCCATCACAAATGGTCGTTTCTCGAAGGCGGGAAGAAGCACAACCACACTCTCAAGGCGGGCCGACATCTCTTCCGATTCGAGCTGCAGGTGGGCGGCAGCTTGCCGTGCAGCATCGCCACGGACATCGGCGGAGGAGCGGGGATCGTGTATAAGCTACGGGCGGTTGCACATCGCGCCGGGCTGAGTCATAACCTGCAATGCGTCATACCGGTGCACTGCATCCGTGCGCTTGTCCCCGACGCATTGGAGTACCAGCAGACGCGCGATGTCGAGAGTCTCTGGCGGGATCAGCTGATGATGTCTGTGGCCATGCCTCATTGCGCGTGGGGCGTCGGAGACGAGTTCGTGTCGTTGCTAAAAGTATCGAGGCTGGTGAAAGGTGCCGGACTGCTCAGTGCTACGATCACTTTGAAGGAGAAGACGCATATATTCGACCGGACTACTTCCTTCACACGACCAGTGGCCAGCGTGTCATACGACATTGTTGGAAACAAGGCGGTCTCGGTTGCGCCAGGGACTCCGAGACGCTCGAACTCCCGGTCCAGTGGGGACCGCTCTATCGCCCAGCACCGTGGCTCACCGTCGCCCAGTATTCGGGCCTCCACCAGCTCAGCCAGGCCAGAAGCTAATACGAGCAGTTCCGATTCAGGTCATTCGACTGCAGATTTCCAAGACGATGAGCACACCGAATTGGTGAGAAAGATTCGCGTTGCTGTCTGTGCCGTCTTTGAAGATAGCTGCAGTCCATACCTCTTCGGATGCGGATTCCTCTGAACCTCACTCCCAGCCACACTCTCGTGCCCCTGAAGATCGAGCACACGATGTACTGGACGCTGACAGTGATGTCGGCGAGCGGAGACATCCTCGACCTCTCTTGCCATATGAATGTGCAGCTGCTCGACACTCATCTTCTCAAAGAAGTGCGATCCCACACTAGGGCTGCCCGGAAGCTGTTGGTTGGAAGTACAAGCTCGCCGCTCACCGGAGAAGACGATCCGAACTATCTGCCGAGCTACATGGCTCATGTCCGGGACCGGGTTGCGAACATCTATCTCACTGATAACAACTCGATGCGGGTGCCGAATCCTTGGCTAATACTAGGATTGGAGCCGATTCCAAATTCGGACCACGATACGGAAGTGAACGCACGGGCGATGGAGCAAGCGGACACTGAAATTATCACCGATGTTGACTCGGATGACGATGAGGAGCAACAGTACAATCGGAATCCTGTTGCCATAGACTGGGCCAACTCGGAACTGATGATATCCCAAGGATTGACGCGTCTGTCATCTCCGACTCCCAGCGCGGACGAGTTGAGTCTTGCTGGCAGTGGCCGTTCCATCTCAGACCATCCCAGTCCCACCATGGTGCAAGATATACCTACGTACACGCATAACACGCACCATAACGCAGCCGGTCTTTTCACGATCAAAATGGAATCCGCTAAAGCCCATTCGCACTGGCCCGCGATCCCTCAGCGGTATGAAGCGCTGGGCAAGGAAGCGGTGAAGGAGATGGCCGACCCGAACCCCCACTCGCCCTTGCGCACAGAATTGGAGCCGACACTCCTCCCGCGTGCCTTTGTCGAAGTTCCCACATACGACAGTGCTGTTCATGCTTTCTGCGGCGCTGTTCCCCCCCTCACTAGTCTGCAAGGCTTGCCGTCCTACCAGGAGGCTGCCCAGAGTCCAGTGTAGAGGACATCGCATATACAATATCTGTAGCCTACGCGCATTCAATCACCATTTTGTGATAACTGCTGGAGACCCAACTAACTCGACGTGCAGTATAGTAGACACGGTCACTGGTCAGAATATGTCGTTGCACAGCCACGCGGACTGCCCGAAATAGGTAAGAGCATACGCGTCGCTCTTGTCCACTTGCTCTTTCAACCCACAAAATGGCAGACTCAGATTCTAGACGCAACTCCGCCCGCGGGTTCCGTCCATCGGGACCGGTGCGTGTCGGGCGGATCGGCGGCTGGTCTTCGGGTACTCCCGCACCCTCGTCAAGCAGCCACAGCGGCGGCCCACGAATCGGCACCATGCGCGACATCGGATCGGGCGCAGCGTCATCTGCTCCTCGCCCCCCGCCCGGTCAACACCAGGGGCAAGACCACGACGACGAGGACGACGAGGAGTCGGATGAGGACGATGGCGATGAGCGCCAGCCCCAGTCGTATTTCGCCGGTGGAGAGCGCAGTGGGATCAGTGTGCAGAACCCCGACTCTGGCCCGAGGAGGCGCGATGGGCCCGCAGGGATGGTGCGGGATCTCCTGAGACGCGCGGCAGAGTGTGTACCGTCTCATCTTCTGTTGTCCGACCACTCTTCTCATCTGTTTCCCGATCAGAGCGGGCCCCTCGCCCAGCAGCATCGCCGCCACGGCTCCTCCCACCGCGTTCTTCGGCGGCGCGAACACGCTCGGCTCAGATGAGGTGGAAAGTCGGTTCATCCCGGACCCTAACGCGGCACCGACTGAAGGCGACGACGGCGACCTGCCCCGCGTGACGCGTTATCTCACATTCTGGGCGTCTGGTTTCACTGTCGATGCGCCCAACGAGCCGTTGGGGAGTGGGACAGGGACAGGCCTGATGCGATTCGATGATCCGCAGAATGCGGAGGTGCTCGCTGCGTTGCGGCAAGGGTGAGTTATCTCGCCTGTGGGTCATGTATAGTTATGGCGATGCTGATGCCTTCTAGACTCGCGCCGCCCGAGATCCTGAATGTCCTTTCCGGCCAGCCTGTCGAGGTGGTTTTATCCGATCGGTCGCATGAAGAGTATGTCCCCCCACGCACGGTTTGGTCCGGTGGAAACAGATTAGGTGCTGTCGTGCCCGGGCAATGTGAGGGTTCAATACTTCTTGGTCTTTCCTTCGGTTGAATCCCCTTTTCAGCTTCGTCGTCCTCTTCCAGCTCGGCAATGCCCGGCTCCTTCACTAGCGCTGCATCCCCCGTTCAGGCTTCGACCGCTGCTCCAACTGTGGATGCATCCCAACCAGTGGCACAGATTCAAGTACGCCTTGCTACCGGCGGTCGACTCGCCGCGCGACTGAATCACACACACACCGTGGCCGATCTTCGCGCTTTCATTGACTCTCAAGGGTGAGTCGACCAATCCAGGAAGGAACGAAGCCTCTGACCGATCATTAGGGGTGTGCAACAGCAATACATTCTGCAGACTACGTTCCCCACGAAGGAGCTGAACGATGATCAGACGATCTCGAGTGCGGGGTTGGCGGGCAGTGTCGTCGTGCAACGGTTGGTTTGATTAGACACTAGAGGTTTGTATAGACTTCCAGCTGCCACTCAATCACGGGCTTGCGCTATTTCCATCGAATGCCAATGGATACGGGGGGGAAAGAGGTATATCAAATCTCCCTGTCTGTCACGACGATCCCAATCTTAGCCTCGACGCCACCTTCAGCATGATTGTCGTGGGTGATCAATTCCAGTTCAAGCTGGAGAGCCGAATCGGACTCGAGGTCTAGCCCCCAATAGCGGCTGTGCAGATCCATGCACACTTGCGTCTCCAAGCGGATTGATACAGCACGTCATGGACGCATACAGCTGACCACAGGTGTTGCTTGTGAAGTATGGTGGTTGTGAGGGAACCGAGAGACTTATCGTCCATGTGAAAGCCATTAGATAGGGAACCGGATGTCAAAGACATCTTCATCTGATCTGATGAAAATCTGGTCCCGCGGAAACTCATGAATAGACCGGGGCAATCCTCAAGGAAAGCTATACTTGGAAAGTCATAAATAAACTCGTATTGGCCGACGCACGATGTTTCACATCCTTTCTGAGTCGAGCTCCCATCCAAAAATGTAGTCTCTGCAACATAGGGATCAGCCGCGGATGAGAGTCCAGTCTTTTGGACGCAGCTCCTGCTCGCTTACGTGAATGATTAAACTCCATTTGAGGCTCGTTGCAGCAACATTGCCGGCCGGATGATCTCTCTCCCATCAAAGCTTAGTCACAATGTTCAATGAAACCCCGGCTCGTGTATGCATTACTATTTACTTCAAAACTTCTGAGACCATTATGAAATCCCCTTGTCACATTAAAGATAGTGGTCGTTCGTTCGGTGGATCAGTTGCAGTCAGCAACCACGTCGTTTCCGTCTTGGATCGCAGCGGCGAGCTTCGACTGCGCATCAGCCAGGGTCTGGTTCACAGTCGGGCTACAGAAGCGCGCAGCATCAACACAAAAAAATCGTCAAGAGAACACAGAGACGCACTCGTTGATTCCGCTCAGCGCGGTCTGCGCGTCCGTGAGTCCCTTCTGGACCTGGGTGCGCGCCGCAGCGGGGGGCGTGCCGCCGGTGATCAGCGCAAGGGCGATCTGCGCGATACCGGCGCTGGCGCTGGTGAGGCCCGCCTGGGCGGTCTTCACGCTCGCGGCGGTCGCAGGGTCGGCCGTGTTGATGTTTGCGACGGACACCCCGGTCTCCGCGAGCGTGGTCACGATGTTGAAGCGGTCAAGGCCACAGCCGCTCAGGCCGAATAGGGGCGCTGGGAGAGTGGCTCGTCAGATGGGCTGCTCCCGGGGGACAGTCTGGTACTCGGCACGTACCGGCCATGGTGCTGGAGGCGACGAAGAGAGCAAAGAAGGCGGAGAGACGAGCCATTGCGATTGAATTCAAGAACAACAAGGAGAAGAAGAGAGATAGGTGGTCTGGAGAAGAATAAAGCAAGAGTCAAGACACCAGGTCAAGCAAGCGAAGGAGAATGAGGATCCTGCGCTGCGCCTGCCTCCCTTTATAGGCTGTGAATGCCATCCGATAACACGGGCATTGTACAGCTGTGCAGAAGATAGTGCGAGAATACTGACCGTTGTCATGTCTCGACACAGACATGCAGTCCCCGCCAGCCTCGACATGCTCCGAACCTGCGGCAGGTCATGTGTAAATGGATCATTTCCCATGGGAACGGATGATCGACTGAGCCAGACGGAGACACATTGCGGCATCCACAAGCGTCTTCCTCGTGGATCGTGCTTCTCAGGAGTGTGTGTGTCGCTTGTAAACCATCTCGGACCCATTTCATTTCCGACCAACTCCCTGGGGCAAGGTTTATCGAAGCGTGAAGGAGATGTGGACGAGGATATAACATCATTCGATCAAGAGGCTGTCTAACGTTAGTCCGCCTGGCAATTGAGCCAGTAAAGACGTAAGAGACCAGTCTCGCAGGGAGAAAAAGAAGTACACTGGCCAACGTGGGGATCGAACCCAAGACCTTCGCGTTATTAGCACGACGCTCTAACCAGCTGAGCTAGTCGGCCGATGTCGTAATGAGTGAGAAATAATTTGTGACTCTCATGACCTGTTCGTTGACATACGATCACTATCTGCTAATCTACATGAAATCTATAGCACGTTTCCTCCCTTTCGGCAAGATTTCAGGATTCGGCGCCACGGATCCGCCGACATTGACATCAAGAGACGGACTGGCCGCACGGGCCTGTACAACAGCGGGAACGGGCTTCTCGACCCACATCGCGTCGTCGTCGACGTCCTCGGCGGCGTCCTTGCGCTTCTCCTTCCGTCTCTTCTTCTTGCTCGGCTTCTCTTTGGGCGTGATCTGCAATCCGCCCGCCGCGCCGTCGTCGTCGTCCTCGAATGACACCAGCACGCGATTGGTCCTCTCTTTCCTGTCCCGCTTTCTGCTGTCCCGTTTCTTGTCGGTGTCCTGCGTTCCATCCGCCGCTTTCTTGCCTTTTCCGTCGCGCGGGATAAATGTCGGCTTGAATGTGGCGAGATCGACCGGCCCTTCTTCGGCTGGGGGTACCGTTGGCGGCGGTGCTGCTGCCTCTGGCATAGACACGTCCTCGTCCGCTAGCTTGGGCTCGTCGACAGCCATTGGTTCCGGGTCGGGCTCCGGGTCTTTCGCCGGTTCCTCGTCGTCGCTGTCTTCGTCGTCGCTTGCGAAGATCGCTTTGAAGACATCCATCGCAGGCCGTTGATAGGTAAGAGTGTCTCGTCCTTGAGACTCGTCTTCTCCCAGCCCGATGTTCGCCAAATCCCGAGGCCCTCGCGACCCAGACCCAGAAGTTCCAGCAGATGAGGATCCTGCGGCTGCTGCGGAGCTGAACTGTTCCCAAGCACCACCGCCAGCAGAGGTTGCGGCACCCGGCTCCGCGGCCGAGCTCTCGTCTTCCGCCGGGGCGGGGTTCGGGTCCTTCACCTTGAACCGTTTGCACAATAATCGCGCTGGCTGCCAGGGCACCGACTCCCGGGTCATCGGGCCGTACATCCCGTGTCGCGCTGCATTCTGCTTGGGCGTAACCCTCTCCTCCGCCATCTTCCGCACCTCGGCCTCCTTTCTCGCGTGGTCCTCCGCAGTGGGTGTATACAGCCCTTCTTTCATCTGCGGCCCGTGCTCGACGACACTAGCGGACTGGAACCGGCCTGCCATGGCACCGGAAAGCGGCTTGAACAGGAGTGCCGCCTTGGCATAGTCTTCGAGTTCTTTGTTGTATTCGTCGATGGGTTGATGCGGAAGCAACTTGGGCGCTGCTGGGGCGCTGTCCGAGCCAGTCTGTGATTCCAGGTACGTCGTGTAGCGTGCCTGTTTGTCGGCGTTCGTAGCGAAAGGGACGAATCCCCCCTGCAATGCAGCGAGTGCAATATGAGGTTCCGTGCGAGGGATGACAATGGAGGCCGGTGGCGGAGGTAACGAGGGGCCCGGAGCCTCTGCATCCGTCTTGGACATGTTTTGGATACGGTCGCGGTCCTTTTGCGACATGTAGTCGAATACTGACCGAGGTGCCGAAGGTAGCGGCGTTTCGCCGAGGATAGCCCCCCGCTGGGAATGGTGAGTACTGGTCTGACGCTATGCTAGAACTCACTTGATCTGCCGTTATACTGTCTCGCGCGCGTTTGTCCAGGGGAGGTGGAGCGCTAGCAGTGTGATTACTGTTTTCCTTGTCCCATACACGCCGCGGATCTGGCTTCCATCCTTGGGGTATCTCTGGCATCGGGAACCTACGTACGTTGAGTACGATGGTCTCGTTTGTTAGTTATATTTCGTACCATCGGTCCTCTGAGACAGGTTTGTCGGATAAGACAAAACCAGCTAGTACAGGTTGTCCGTCGGGAAAGACTTGCGAAGGGACAACTGGAGGCTAATTCACAAGTCAGACTTGCCAACATCAGAACCAAAGTACGTACCGCTGGGCGAGAGGCATCCCTCTTGGTGCCAATCGAAATCTTATCCTCCTCTTCCCGGTCAATGATGTCATAGGCAGTACGATTCCGGCCTTGCGTTGTATTTCCTCCATCATACACATCCAAGTCATCTTCGTCCGCGTCGTTCAGAGCACCCAGTCCAAATCCAGCTTCCTAAGTGTAAGCAGAGAACATTGATTTTTCAATGACAGCGACGCACCGGAAATGTTGGGTCCTACTTTGGCACCAGTAGCACTGCTAGTACTCTCATTCAAGCTCATCCCCGGTCGATAACCCAGCCCGTGCAAATTGTCTTTGCGGTCAACGACCAGCACGGCAGTATCCCTCGGAGCATAAGTGTGCTTATCGGCCTCGGCATGGTCATCGGGCAGGCCGAGTTCAGCTTCGGTCACATCGCGTCGACCGGCGGCTTGCAGATCCTGCAGACGCCGTTGACGAAGCGTGATTCGCGGGCCGATGCCCTGGCCAATTTTCCAGCCCATCTTCTTGAGGATGCGTGCACCTGCGGAGTCTTTCGCTGCAGGAAGCATGGATGACTCGAGTGCATGAGCGACGGAACTGGAACCTGGCTTGAGATACGAATTGAAGGAACTAAGAGAAACGCACTCTTGTTCCTTATCGTCCCCGCGGCTGAGCCCAGAGCCTGCGGTGAGATCCATCTCCTCCGTTGTATCGACGATATTCCTGCTGTCCTTGATGTCCTGGAGATCTTCATCGTCCATGAAGTCCTCTGGCCGTGAGGCTACTTTCTTCTTCGACCGGTCGGCGCGTGAGGATACGAATGTCGAAGGTGCCCATCCTAGAAGCTTGGTTGAGGTTGCGCAGCGATGAGACCCAGAGTGCCCGTCGCACCTTCTTTAGAGCCAACAGTGTTGAAGTAACCCGCCGAGAAACCACCAGTGAACGCGCCATGGAGCCTCCGCCGTCCTTTCTCGTCCCTCACCTACGACCCATCAGCAACCAGCCATCTCGGAGCCACATAACGCGTACCTCTTGCTTCCAAAGAGGCACGAATTCGCCAGTGTCCCTCGACTTTTCCAGTGGGGGCAAGGGTGTTCCGATCTATACAGCAGGAAACAGAACTCAATAGAGATAACGAGAAAAATTTGGGGCTTTACAAGGCAGAAAGACTCATTCGCCCGGGCACTGGCTGGGTCTATGCCCAGATTGCCTAATTTCTTCTTCAGGCGGGAGGTCATGGTGAGGTTGTTTGATGGTGTTGTGGCAAGCCTGACCTGGATCTCAAGATTCCCCGGGCCAGTCCCATCCATTGTCTACTTATATCCATTCCCTCGCGTCTGCGGATATCTGCGCGCACGGGTCGTCGCAGTCTCGAATGGCTTTCGACATCTCTTTTCACCGCTATGCATCAAGACAACGATCCGGACTCTCCGACCCCACGGACGCAGAGTGGACACTGCGGCCTTGGTTGTCCAGGCCCCAATACTATTGAGACACTCCTCTCGGCGCTCATTTCCTGGATCATACAACTTCAGAGTCGCGAGCTGCAGCGGATTCGGGGCCTACGGCCTAGTCTATCAATCGTTTTATACATACCTTCGCGTTTGGGCCCAGCCCCTATGTTCATCATAGCGCCCGCAACAATCAGACGCGAGGCTCTCATCTTTGATTCGCGGCTCACGACTCGTACCAACGGCGGTGGACTCCGATAAGATGCGCCTTTTCTTG